AGTCTCAATGAAACCCAGGGCACAAAAATAAAGGAGGTGTAGTCCTGGTCATCTTCTTCTGGATGACATTACAAGGGTGCTGACACCTTGGAGTCTTGCGTTGGTCCCTTTACATAGGTAAACTTTGAATTTTTGTGTTCTGGGATTCGTTTCTGAAGTTTCTTGATTACTTCTTGAGCGTATGTTGGTGAAATTGATGTGAGTTGAGAAAAAGTGGTGGGTATCTTCAAGTTGTCCAACTCTGAGACTAAGGCTGATTCAACCGTCTTCTCTGTTTTCTGAGAAGTTGGTTTTGCTTGAGGTTCCGCAATTTGTCCAGGCGTTTTTCTGGTGGCTGCCACTTCTTCCACTATCTCTTCAAGTTCATCGATTGGGTCCAAATCCATTGCTGAGTCATCGTTTGCCGCCATGGGCTTTCTTCTTCCACGGAGCTCTTCTGCTCGTGTTGTCGCTGCGTTGGATTTGACCTTGTCAAAATTTTCTGAACCTAAGTGTGGTGGACTCCAGTCAATTTTGTGCATTGATGAGACATAGTCGTTTGAGTTGGGTGTTGGTTCTGCCTGTTGTTCAAAAACTGATGGGTGATTGGTCCGGTATACTTTGGTGATCTGAGGTTTAGGTTTTGCGGAGTCCGCAGCCACAACCACCCGAATAGGTCTTGAAGGGTCCCATGGAATTTTCTTGCCATTGGGAAGGTAGAAATTAGGTCCTTCTTTCTTGACTAGTCCTTCTCGTTCATCTTTCTGTGCTTTGTAACACATTATGGTTGAATGTCCTTCCTTATGACAATAGTAACAGGGTCGAGGTTCATAAAGTCGTCCAGATGGTCGATCATTTCCACGAGAATATTCATTTTTAGGTTGATTCTCCAATTTTCCTGCGAGTGATTCAATTGCTTTTGCCAAACTATCAACCTGTTTCTGAAGTACTTCCGGAGGATTGTCGTCCATCATCTTCTCACGCTTTTTTCTGTCGCCTTTCTTCTGGTCCAGAGTACTTTGCATCGATTGGTTGGCCTCGGCGAATCCACTAGCTGCAAAGACATTGAGTGACCTTGCTCGAATTTCATCCTCAGCTACATCAATGACATCCGAAAGGAGGGGTGGTTTGTTATAACCATCCTTCCCTGTAGGAATGAGGTCTGCCTTGACTAGCTCTCGATTAATGCTCGTCTGTATATCTGTTGAAAAAGCTAAAAAGAAAAGGTGAGAGACACTGGTTTCATTTACTATATGTTCATTTCTTACCAAATACTTAGTTATTATCATGAACTTTGACTGATAAGTTTTGAAATCGTTCAGCTGCTTGATTCCGCCTTTCTTCTGACAGAAATCAATCAAATTGTAAAGGTCCTTGATTGTGTACCGAATCTTCTTTGCCACGCCTCCCCAGATTTCTATCATGCTTGCACGAAGAAGTGTCCAGTTCCGCTGCTCGTATCCGTCCATCGATTCCAATTCCTTCTTCAATTCTTCTACCTTCACAAATCTACACACTTGACGTGCTTTGTCATAGCCGCCAGCACCGTAGATTTCTGCCGCCAGTTCGAATCGTTCCAAAAAGTCTTCAAAGTTCTCGCCTTCATATCTTAAGTCTGGTTCCTTGATGATGACTGCAGGCCTAGGCATAGGCTCGTCCATTTCCTGAATGTCCGGAGGTAAGCCGTAGGTTCCCGCAGGGTAGTTTGTTTGTTGAGTGTTCCCAGAGCCAGCTGGGTTGTCGTTTTGTTGATTGTTTTGATGAGCCCCATACCTTTCACGATAGTACCGTACTCGAGTATGACTTGTTCGTATTGGTGGTGGGGGTAAAAGAGGTGGTATTATTGGTGGATCGATATTCATATTGGGATTGTTTTGATTGCCAGAGAATATTCCAGTTGAAGCTGGGTTGGTTGTCGGTAGAGTCGGTCCGTCTTGAGCCTGGGAAAACGCCATGACTGAGAATAACTGATTCCGGTTACTTTATCTTGAGTTGAGTTGTTGATAATTTCTAGTAGTAGTCCTAAATTCTTCTAACTAATGTCGCTGGCGTTCTTATCCAGGGCAAGGTTGGGGGGTTTTGGTTACTAACTAATAATAATACTAATAAAACTAAATAATATGATACTACTATTCAATTATATAGATTCGTGGAGGTTGTCATAGACTAGTATTCTACTTCGCACTGAGTTTTAATCGGCTACCACCTGGTAGTTAAACTTTTTTATCCTAACTACTCTAGTACGTCGGCTAATCGGTCCCCTCGTCTTCTACTTTATAATTGATTCTTGAGTATTTAACTACTTAATCCGGAGTTCTACTAGGTATATCTAAGAACTAAGTCGTATAAAGCTAAACAGAATGTGATTATTTAAAGATATGGTTTGTCACGTGGTCAAAACAGGAATTTTCCTGACTAAAACTAACTAAAATTCTACTAAAATAAACTATAAAAATCACTACAATGGTTTAGATATATCTAATCCACTTGCCAAACTTCAGGATCCTCTATCACGTTGGGGACTCCCTTGTAAAGCTCAAAAGTGTTTGTAAAACCCTTTTGCTGAGTGTGGAAAGGGATGAATGAGGATACCTCTGCCTTTCCTGGATCACTAGACACTAGACAAGCCCACCAATCTCAGATTGGAAGGTTTAATAAAGTGATAGTGGAGTGTATCAAAAGATAACTGTAGCTTAACAGGTGGACAAGGGTTTAACCCAGTTTTATAAGGGTCTAAAAGGTTGATTTGAGAGTGAGAGAGTGAGTCTAGCTGATATTTCAATGGTAA